TTTTTTTTTTATTGTTAGTTAGGTTGTCAGTCACTCAGTCTCCTTTGATTGAATTTTAGTCTCCTTTATTGAGTAGCTTAGTCTAATTTCATGGAATTTTGGTCTCGTTTATTTGGAAATTTGTTCTAGAGTTGATCCTATTGAGAGGGAGATTTTATGCTAAAAAGACTCTCCCGTGATTCGTTTCTTCAGTCACTTGACTTAGGGTGTTTTCTTTTTTTATTTTTTTGTTAGTTAGGTTGTCAGTCTCCTTTGATTGAACTTTACTATCCTTTATGAAATTTTCGTCTCGTATGTTTGTAAATTTATGTTAGGATTGATCCCTATTAAGAGGGAGTTTTTTATGCTAAAAAAAACTCGTGATCTTTTTTTTTTTTGGGTCACTTGACACATATTGTTATGGGATATTATACCTACAAGGGTAAACCGGTCTGCTGAACCGGTCGAAGGGGGTTATACCGTGAGGAAGTCAAACCAATCTAGTGATAAACGAGCAAGATGACGATGGTTGAGCACCCAGAAGGCAAGACCCGGAAGACTCTAGGACAGACAGCGTATCCCAAGTAGCGGAAAGATCGACCAGTCAAGCAATCGACCAGTCAAGCAGTCGAGCAGTCGAGTCGACCTCAATAGATCGACCACTTTATGGGTTGGCTGTATTCTGATCGACCTAGTCACAGGCGCGTGCAAGAGCCTCAAACTGAATTTTAGGGGAATATTCAGAGGAATAATCATCCCATGTGCAGGGGACACGTGGCGAGAATGCATTAATTGGTTGACAGCAATAACCACCTCTGACAACTCCTAACGCCACTTCTGACATACGCGCGGCGTGTCAGAGTACGGACGGGCAGCTGGAGCAGCCAGCTCACTAAGTCTGGGCAGCCCTTAGGTCAGGTATCTCACCCCTATATAAAGAGGGGTGAGTCTTTCTTCCTTAACAAACAATTTCCATTATTCAACTCATACACACTTATACTTACTTAAGCATCGGAGACTCTTCACCGAAGAACCCCTGGTGTGAGAGTTGTTTGCAGGTTTTTCGGTGTCCTACCGGCGAAGACAAGAGGCGATCTATTCCAAACCGGTCAGGACGCTCAGACTTGCATTACATATGATTTTCCTTTAACCACTTGATTACTAGTTATACTTTTTTTGAGTTTACTTTAACATTGCGTGTTATATATATAGGAACAATCAAGTAATGCATAAATAATATTAAAATTAAATAATTTTTTAATAAAGACCGTACGGTGGTCCTAAATTTTCTTTCCCCCACAATTTTTGTTATGTACAAATGAATTAATTAACCCTTGGGTCGACTGAAAGAGCAGTTTACGAGTGACTAAAACAATTATACAGTGACTTCAGTTTGTTTTTCCTAACCATTGATATATCCCTAAGCACAGTCCCGCTCATCTGCCTACGGTGGGCAGTGCCCACTAGTTTGTTTTATATGAAAAAGTATTTTGAGAATACGTTTTTCAATTAAATTAGTTTGTTTTATATGAAAAACGTATTTTGAGAATACGTTTTTCAATTAAATTTAATTGAAAAACGTATTATCAAAATACGTTTTTCATATAAAACAAACTAGTGGGCACTACCCACCGTGGACAGGGAATACATTTATCCCTAAGCAAGTAGGCTGCCCGCCGACGGAAGACGACAAAAGAGCGTGCCATTTGTGGGCCTTCTTCAAAGAACACTAATAAAAAATATTCAACGTTTTATATTTAATAAAATGCAACCATTTATATAGTATATTATTATATACATTTCCTATTTTATGAATAAGGGCAAGTTAAAATTTTTTGATATAAAATGCAACTCATTTTAAGAGTTGGTCTCATTCGATCCGCCCCATATATATATATTGCTACTTTTTGAGGTTTTTAAGTCGATTAACGGATATAGACATTGAAAAGTGATTGAATTAGACATCTTCTATACTCCTACAAACTACTACAAAATAGAAAGATATAAAGGAGTAGCTGATAATTATAACAAATTAACAATCCCATATCATAGTACTAAAAATGGCAAAATTTCAAAAACAATACACTAAGTTATAACATTGTTCGAAAAGAAACTTTTGACCAAATGATCGACCATTGGACTCATCTTGTCGAGTAGATGATACATATAAAATATCGATAATGTTACGGTCTTGTTACGATACCATCTCGTCGGGGATTTAATTTAACTGTTGGATCATCTATTTTATACTAGTTATATGTGTATCTAACTGTTAAAACACTCGACGAGATGGTACCGTGACGGGAAGCTCCGCTAGAAGAAAACAATCTGCCTGAGGTTGAACATCACCATGTTGATAATGTTTCCATGATGGTCTTTACTAATGAAGATCTGTTGCTTGGTTCTAAGCCTCACAACAGACCCTTGTTCGTGGCCGGGTATGTGCAAGAGCAAAAGGTTAATCAAATATTGATTGATGGGGGATCAGCAGTCAACATCTTGCCTCTTCGCACGCGTTTTTCTCAGTTTCTTACATGGTATCAGAGCCGGTTCTATTGGGACCGTGAGATGACGTACCCGTTTATGAGAATCTGCTTTCCCACGAACCCGTTTATGGGAGTCTGCTTCTAGTAGGCTTGGGGCACCCAACCCAGTTGGGCTTGGGCTTCCGAAGGACTCACAAATGAGGGGGCGTGTTAGAATATTACTTGTGAGTTGTCCCACATCGTTTTATACATGGAAAATAGATCCACCTTATAAGACTAATGGGCTACTTCTCCTTCCACCAATTGGTTTTGGGATGAAACTCCATTCAAGCTTCATATGTGCTTTTCCCCGCTTTGGTGCACTTTATGTTAGTGGAACCGCACGCATTTTTTCCCAGTTTCTTACATCTATCTAACTATTTAGCCACGCCAGCACACGTCTATTTCAGGATTCATTACATTAACCTTTTGCAAGTAGAACATTCAAATGCCACCAATTCATGGGACACAGAGAAATTATTTGAGCACTTAAAAAAGACAGCTCCTATATTAAAATCTTCTGCTATGCTGTTGCACGCCCCTTAGCCCAGGTAATAATAATATTTATTTATTTATTTCCACTCAACAAATCATTGAAATAAAAAATAAAAAATTAATACTCTATCTACTAGCCCTCCTAACAACCCCTCACCACATGCCTACACAAAAAATATCCCTCACAACTTTTTATAACGAAATTTGCCAAGTAAAGCATCTTAAGTATAGTCTCTCCAAGAATCTAACCTTAGATCCTTCCAAAAAAAATAAAAATAAAAATGAAGGACTTAGTAGAAGTCAAGCAAGAAGAACACGAGACCTTGATCTCGTTCGACGAGCCCAAGCGACGGTCGATCGGCGTTCGAAAACGGCCGTGGGGGAAGTACGCGGCCGAGATCCGTGACTCAACCCGCAACGGGATTAGGGTTTGGCTTGGGACTTTCGACACGGAGGACGAGGCGGCCTTAGCCTACGACCAGGCAGCGTTTGCCATGCGGGGCCCGTCGGTCCCACTAAACTTCCCGCTCGAGAAAGTGGTGGAGTCGCTCGAGCGGATGAACTACCGGTGCGCGGAGGGCTCGTCACCGGCCAAGACCCTCAAGGAGTCCCACCGGAGGATATCGATAACCAAACATAGGATTGCGAGTGATAATAATACTGGGAAAGGACAAGAGGTCATTGTAAATAATTGTGGTGATCAGGTAATAATGAAGGATGTGGTGGTTTTTGAGGATTTGGGATCTGATTTGTTGGATGAGCTTCTGTCTTGAGAGTTCTTCAGCTAGTGAGTGAGTGAACTCTTTTTGGTAAATATTGTTTTTTTTTTTTTAATCTCTTTTGTTTTGGTTTGTTTTGTGGATCATGTGTTTGTTTTGGTCATTTTGGATATATATAGTTCCCTTTCTAGATTTGTTTTTTTAGCTTCATTTAAATTAAACCCTAGCTAGATTACTATCAATTACCCTTGTCTTGGTGTGTGTTGTAATTGAATTACACAATGAGAATTGGGATATGGAGTAATATTAGTTGTGATTAATTTGAAATTAATTTTAGAGTTGAAGCTGTTTCAATATTTCTTGATGCAATTTGTTCTGAAAATATTGTAATTTTTTTCATTCTCTAGTAATTTGGTGTTAATTTGTTGACCCAATAGTCATTCTACAACAAGTCTATGTTCTATTTGTTTGAATGATATGGATATACGGAGAGGGAATATGAGCCTATGCTTGATTTCATGTGTTCTGCTTATGGATTGAATAATTGTCGCATATTAACCACATAGTTGTCGTATATTAATTTATAGCGTAGTCGCATTTTAACTCTTTCGCCTCAGATAATGTGAATGGACTGCATCAGTGTCGCATATTCTATGTTCATCACATAATGCGTTCGCATTTTTATTTTGGAATTAAAAAATAACTTGTTAGCCAGAGGTATAAAAAACTTAATACAGTTTCATATAGGATGAAAATAGCCATTTTCATTTTCTCGAATCAGAAAGTCGGCAGAAAACGATGTACATGCCGGATTACGGCTTTATTTGACCAATTACCTCGGACATGTTTGTTAAGGATTAAATTAAAGAAAAATGCCTTGCCCAAATCATTTTGAGTAACTAGCACACTACCACTACTTATGGATATATGAAGACATTTGAAAATTCAAAATTATTTATAGTACAGTCCGAGCAGTACGTGGCACGTCAATTTTGGTCCTATAATTTGTCGATTTCATCAATTTTTTTTAAGGTTACATGGCGTGATTATGATCTACGTGGCACGTCAATTTTGGTCCTATAATTTGTCGGTTTCATCAATTTTGGTTCTTTTTTCATGCCACGTCACTTTTTAATCCAGGGTACGGATAAAAAAGGACCAAAAATGATGAAATCGACAAATTATAGGATTTAAATTAGAAGTGGTCAATATAAGGATGGTTTATGGACAATGCCAAAATTATAGGACCAATTTTAAATTTTTACCCTACATAAAGTGTATAGGGCGAGCATATGTCACTTCAAGAGCTAATATGCATAAAATGCGTGAGAATCTTTAAGAATTTATTTAACTTCTCATTATAGGGAGAATCTTAAAATTTATGTAACTTCTCATTATGCCGCATATTGGGAGATCTTACCATTTTATTCAACTTCTCAGTATGGTCTATATATATAATGGGGGTGAGCATATATTGCTTGAAGACAATAGGGGTGAGCAAATTATACTTGAGTGATGCAAAACTAAACTTTATTGCTTATCAAGTTCCAACTTTACTTATTAAGTTTGAATTTTACGTAATTATACGCTACATATTAAGTGTGTGTTTGGAAACACTTTTGAAATGGGCTTCTAGACTTAAAAGTCCATCTGAATAATTTTAGGGTGTTTGGTGATTTATATTGAATGCACTTTTGAGAAAAGTCACTTCTCAATAAGTTCATTTTGTAGAAGTGAGAATTAGCTACTTCTAAAATCTATTTCACAATTATTCCCAATAAGCAGTGTTCTAAAGGCAATAAGTAACTAAAGCACTTATTTAAAATGAGATTCACCAAAAATATGTGAAAATTGTGTATGAACTTTTGTAAATGCACTTAATGAAAAGTCCATTTTTAAGATGGATTTTTGTAGAACAAGTTCTCCCAAACAAAGCGTAACTTATTAAACATAATAAAAATTGGTAGAGCAACTAAACTCATTTCGTAACAAATATATAAAACAATTAACCAGGAAGACGATTCATTTAAATATTATCCAGGAGATAATATCCAAAATTTAGATATTACTTCCAAAATGTAGATACGGCCCTTCTAAACTATAAGTTGAAGAACTTAAGGTGTCTCTAACCTATTACTATAAGTTGAAGAACTTAAGGTGTCTGTAACCTATTACTACTTTCAAAATTTAAATATGCCCGGTACAAGAAAAATTTAAATACGCCCAAAACTTCTAAACTTTAGGTTAGAGAACTTCTAAACTTTAGATGTCTGTAGCCTATTTTGTTCACAAATTGATATAACTTGATTGTATATTTTTAAATCTATATAGATTACACTAACACATTTTTATTATGCTTTAAAATTTATGGCACTATTTTGGTATATATATATATATATATATATATATATATTCTATTAATCCAACCTTTAAAAAAATTTATCCATATCTCTTCTAGTAGAATTTGGAAGAATACATACCATTTTCATGAATACTGTGTGCTTTCCAAAAAAATTTACTCCATGTTATACTAATATGAATAAAAATAAATATTTATAATATTACATGTTATATTTTTATTTTTATTATTTTCTAAAAAGAATATACATATTTATTAGAAAATATATTTCTCTAGTAATTAATCTGACCTAACAATTATAAATTAGTTCAATGTATCAATTGAACTGTATTGTTATTTCGACTTTTTTTGAGAAAAAACTCAAGGTGTTTTTCCCACAGTTTTGAAAATCGGACCAGCCCGACGGGTTCGGGTGGGCTGATCGGACCGGGTAGCAAGAGACCCGGTCAACCTGGCTTTGACCGACCATTAGATACATTTTTCCTTTTTAATTTTATAAATAAATTATATTTATATTTATTAAGACTTTGAGGCATAAAATTTACAAATAAATATATACAAATTTAAATTTTATAAAATTAATTACTCGATTAAACAAATGACCGGTCGATAACTCGACAGTTGGACTGATGACCCGATATAATGATCAGGAGTCCAGCTCGAGTCAATCACCAAATCAAGTTTTAAAATTATAGTTTTACCTCCGTTTCATTTTATTATTCAATTTTTCTCGTTTTTGATCCGGGAGAGCTTAGGTGGAACCCCACTGTCCATTGTGTCACCCAAATTTGATGGCCTTTTCATGAAAGTAAAAAGTGGGCCGACCCGGCCGACGGAAGAAGACAAATTTCGGACCCAAAACCCAATCAAAGAACTTTCAAACACTTTGGCACTTCATATGGTTGGGAAAAAGAGCTTGATAACGAAAGTTTTCGTGGTGCAGTCCTTGCAATTGGGCTAAACCGAAATTTCAATTGAGTTTGTACCAAAAAAAAAAAAATTGCATGTATGGTCGTTTTGAACTAGCGTAATTTGTGCGTTATGCTCATCAAATATGCCACATATTTACGCATAATCACACTTTTTTTGATAGATAACTAAAATATGTTAAATATGAATAAGCTTAAGAATCTTAATAAGTTTGTCTAACAATCATATATTTACAATCTAATGAATTAGTGCAAAGTTAATAATTACAAAAAAAATAAAAAATAAAAAAAAATAACAAAGAACCAAGAAACTTACAAGATTGGGATACAAAGTAACACCCAACACAATTTGGTACAACTGAATTAGGGCAAATTAATAATAACAAAAAAAAAAAAAAAAAAA